TATATATATATATATATATATATTCTTTTATCACTTCACTTTATGTATTGTCATGTTTGGGAGTAGATTTTAAAATGTCAACTCCGTTTGGAATTTGTATATATTTTTGGTTTCTTAATATTTGTGGAAATAACAAGCATTAAAATTCTCTTTCAGTAAGGGTTAGTATAGTTAACTGAAACTAAAACGAAAACCATAAAAATAAAAATAAAATAAATGTTACCTGAAATTAAAATAAAATATAAATATAGAATTGTATAAATATTAATTGTTTTATTTCATCTAATAAATAAAACTAAAATAAATAAAACTAAAAATGACATTAAAATAAAAACTATATAGACTATATAGACTTAAACTAAAATGAAAACAGAAAATCTAAAAATGAAATTAATTCAAAACATTAATAAAATCTATTGTAGTATCTTACTGATACTAAAATAACTATTGAACTATATTGAATGTTCATAATGTTTCATGATGAAGTATTGTAATGCCAAATTAAACGTATCTTTCTGATGTATATTTTATTTCATGTATAATATATATGAATATCTAAGGCAAAGTGAATGTTTTTAAGTAAAATTTTTTTTTTGATTCTAGACAGTAGTGAGATTAAATAATAAATAATAAACTTTTATGTTGTTGCTTCTCAAATTTTTCTTTGTGCAAAAGATGTATCAAAAGGTAGATTTCAATTTGAACACAACATTCTCATTAGATTTTTAATTGAAAAATTAAATAATAATTATAATATTATAAAATAAATTAATTATCATTAATTTTTGAATTCTTACTCTAGTCGGATTTGTTTCTATTTTTTTTTTCTCCCCAGCAATGAGAAACATCTGAGACAAAGTTGATACCTAAACAAAATATAATTGAGAAATCCATTAAGTCTCCTGAGTTTGAAAGAGCAATAACATTTTCTTCTGGTCGTATTTATATCATTAGCATCATATTTTAATGACCAAGTGAAAACCGTCTGAGAAAAATCTCCATGAAATCAAATAATGTGTATCCGGTAATATTTGTATAATGAAAAGCATCTTAATCTAATAAACATGGAATTTTTTTTAAATCTGACGACGACAAATATTTCCAGTAGTCTTAAAACAGTGGTGTCTTTATTATAGAATGACCTTCCCCAAGAAGGACATAAGCTGAGGGAGATCTAGCATACATCAGACGACCGTTGGCATTCACTGTGTTGGTGGAATTTTAGGTTAATCAAACATAGTTATTCTTAGACGCTCTGAATTGCCTTTTTAAGCTATGAATCTCAGGAAGTGAGTCATTGTCACAGTGGGGTTAAGCACTGACATGGATTATTATTGCTCTTTATGGCAATGTCTCTCACTTAAGGCTCATCTCCGCATCAATTAGATCGGGTCGGACATGTTACCAAAACACAGTTCGTCACAGACTGTGGAAAACGTCTTCTCAGCAGTGGCGGCTCGTCGGGGGAGGCAGGGGAGGCACAGCTTCCCCATAATTTTAAGGTGAAAATGGGAGGAGGACGATTTAATGTTAATAAAATTCACAATTCATTTCAGTTCATGTATATACAAATTTAGGGAAAACAGCCTAAGCTGGATATAGGCTACAGCAGTCGGCTTAATTAAATGGCGTAACAGGCAGCTCTCTTTTAACACAGACTTTTAAATAGGGATGGATGTTTGCTTCAAGTGATAGGTCAGGTTAGTGAAATTATATTATCTTGCTGTATGCATGTCGTTTTCTTTACGTTTTCTGACTAAAAGCAACCAAAAAGCCATTTTAAAGTGGTTAAGCAAATAATAATAATAATAATCGGCAGGGATCCCAGACCAATACAATTAGTGTGCCTCCTCTATTTTAAAACCCACGAGCCGCCACTGCTTCTCAGAGTTGGTTTTCTGCTCATAATTAGTCAGTGTCCACAGATTTTCTAAGTAAAGCTCATCTGCGGTTCACAGTATGTTTGTGTGTTGTAATCATAAAGATGGCATGACATTCCCTCACTCTTTGGACAGACTGGAAATATTGAATGCCTGAAGAAAATCCATTATAAACAATAAACATGGATTTTATATATTTGTGTGTGTGTGTGTGTGTGTGTGTGTGTGTAAAGTGAATCTTTGTAAGTAAATAAGACATTTTTGTTTCTCAGTAGTAAGATTATGGGGAACATATGAAGATGTCTATTAAAGTTGTTGCTTCTCAAATTGTTTTTCTGAGAAGATAAATAAAAATTCTGAGCTTTCAATTTAAACTTTTCTCATTAGATTTCTAATTAAAATTCAAATTTGAACAAAAATATACATTAAGGTTTTGCATCAACCCTGTTGCCGTCGTATTTTACGTTTTAGTAATAAACATTTCATCAATTAAATATTCCATGGAATTTTCATAAACACAAAGAAAAATCCAAAAAAAGATGATAGACAGACAGATAGATAGATAGATAGATAGATAGAGTTGACTTGAATTTAGATAGAAAAACCTAACAAAAAATCCAGCAGCTTATGTATGTATATAAAGTTGACTTTAGGTTATGCCTCAACCCTGTTACCGTCAGATTTTCCATTTTATTAATGAACTATTCCATTCATTTCAAAGAATTTTCTTAAACACAAAGTATTATATATATACATTTAAATAGAGTATATAGAGTGTATATATATATATATATATATATATAGTTGATTTTAGGTTATGTGTCAACCCTTTTACCACCATATTTCTTAAACAAAAAAAATCCAAAATCTATTTGACTTTTATTTTAATTGTTTTTTATTTAAATGAATGTTTAAAGTAAAGTGAATGTTTAAATGCTGTAACTGGTCATATGTAGTGTTTCATAAAATATGAGTTGATTAGCAAAATGCTCTTTTGATGTCAACTAACAATGTTAGAGATTCCTCAATACAATTTCTCAACACTTGTTACAATTTACAATTTCTAACATTTGTCTCATACAGTCTAACCGAAATCTACTTTCAAGACCAACGTTTATAAAAGTCACCCATTTCACAGAACGGACCAGCCCATCTCTCAAATAACATGTACCTTCATTCTTGATCATTTCCTGTAACGGTGACACTTTTCTTTTTCTCATTCATCTTATCATTCAAACCAATGAAGCTGAACCTCTACACACCACATACTTTCTGTTCTCCTCTGTAATTTCCTCCAAACCACGTGCATATGTCCGCTTTCTACGCGCCGGCTCATTAAGAAACATTTTTCCGGTGAATTAGTTGTCATTGGCTGGTCTACACTGGGTTCCTGGCTGCGTTCCTCAGGTTCTGATAGGCCTCAGATTTAAGGAACCTTGGGCAGGAGTCGTCCTCCATAAGTCTGTATATATGCATCTCGGCTTCATCAAAACAAGTGAGTTCAGGCTTCACCAAGGATCTCTTGATCTTCTCACGAATGTGTTGGTCGATGTTTACCTGCGAAATTGTAACATTTACATCCATGAAAGATAACTGAAGTATATTTCTATAGTGACAATAGTGTTTAGTTTGTTAAGCAAATGGCAAATGCAAAAATTCTGGCTTGTTTTTCTTTTGACCCATCATTAATGCATTTTAAAAAGTTCATTTACGACCTGCAAGGGCACATTTATTTTTGAAGAAATTTGGTGTCTTGCTCTCTGGGGTTTGAACCTACAACTTTTTTCCGTTACTATCCCAAATACCCTTTGCAGCTCCCCTCCAATTAATAAGCATTACTATGATGCAATGGCATTTCCATGCATCTTAATGCAGTGTAACTGTTTAGAAAGGCCCTACTCTATTTAACGCTTTAATGAGTGCCAATACTGACCTCTTTTTGAGCCATGGGATGGAGAAACTCTTTGTAGATATCTGCTGCTTTGTTACAGAGTTTGCCAGATGAAGTCATCCGCTTATATTCCCTGCAGGCAAGCCAAAATTCAATGTTCTCCGCGCTAAACTCAGACTGAAGAAATGAACGAAAAGCATCCAGGTAGTCTGTTCGGAAAAGAATACATTTATTTATATATGATAAAAAATAATATACATATAAAAATAAACTATATAGAGGTGATTGGTGGTTGAGCTAACCTCTATTTTCTAGCAGATCAGCTAGCTTTGGCCCACGGTCTTGTAGTCTTAAAAAGATGAAGAAATTACAAGAAATTAGTGCATTTTATTTGTACCCATCTTTTTCTAATTATTTTACGAAGACTGCATGGACATTTGTATTTGAAATTTGTCTTCCCTTACGAAAAAGAAGTTTATTCAAGTGTGCTATTAGTATACTTCTTTTAAACTAAAAATAGGAAAGTATACTTTTAGTCTACTTTTTAAGTACTTCTCAGAAATGGGCTTTATGTACTTCTCGGAAATATACTTAAAATGACATTTAAGTATACTTGACTTATACTTAGAAAAAGTCTAAATATATTTCAGCTATAATTGTGCTCCTAGAATCCATGTTTTCATTGTTATAC